TGTCACACCTGACCCTCTGCACTTTGTCCTAGTCTGTGTGTGTGTGTGTGTGTGTGTGTGCACAAAGTAGGAAAGCAATAGATCCTGTTAGTCTCGTGTGTGTGTGTGTGTGTGTGTGTGTGTGTGTGTGTGCACAAAGTAGGAAAGCAATAGATCCCGTTAGTCTCCCAGAGAAGAGCTGCTCCCTTCCCTGAGCAAGGGTGCTGTGCTTATTAATATCCAATCTGGGGCTTGGCTTTGCAGAACGTAGTGGCTGCTGAGACATCTGAGAAGAAATGACTGATGCAGTTGATATATAAACTCCTCATGGAATTTGTTTCCATGGGTCAAAGACCTTAAGGTCTTGATGTCATGGTTTATTTCAGAGAAATGGCCTGATACTGTTGCGAGTGTCTCTTTTCCAACCACATCTTACATCCTTCTGTCTGTCACTCTTTCTCCATCATGGTCTGTTGGCTGGTCCTAAAACTGGCCAGGCTACTCCTGCCTCAGGCTAGTGCACTTGCCATTTCCTCCCCTAAAAATGCCCTGCCCACTGGATCCAACCTTCCATGCTGAGTTCCCAGGTTTGTAGGAGGTTAGGGGTAACAGTGAAAGCCCCAAATCCATTTGCACAGCCCCCATTTGGATTCAGGCTTTACTGCAATCCTCCTGACCATTAACCAGGGATGGGAGCAGTCTTGCCCTCAGACAGAGTACATTAGAAATTAGATTCACACCAGCACCCTCAGCCGGCCCATGGGAAGGGCAGTCTTCCTGGGAGGCTTGCCAGGCTGTGTCCTTGATAGGGAGAGCCCCATACTGGGGTTGCCTAGTTATGACTCCTGCCCTGACGGCCTTCAGGGGAAGGCCCTAGATTCATCTTGTAAGAGCTTCAGCCTAACCATGGGTGTGTTTCCATTCCAGCTTCTGTAAGTCCTACCTGTAACTGTGATGTATTGATCCGTCACCAGTCGTGTTTTTGTGAGAGTATCCTCTGCCCTCCTGTCCTCCTAAATGTCAGAATCCCTGCGAGCCCTCAAACACCGTTATAGCCTTGTACTATTGGGCTCCCTCTTCCGATGATATGTCTTTGTCTCTATCTTGTTTTCTCCTGTTTAAGAATTTTAATATGTTCTCCTTAAATGATAGGAAATTTGGGGAGTCTTTTGTAGCCTACAACATCACAGCTGTTCACGTTTCTGTCTCTGCTGAAATGTCTCCTCTTGTGTTCTGCATCTCCTCTCGTCATTCTTCCTCTCCCACTTTTCTTAATCGTCATGATCACTCACTACCTTGTACTACTGTTGACTGGTTTGTCTTGTTTCATCCCTTAGTTTGGGATGTTTTAAGTAGAGGCCCCGTGGCCAGTAGGTAATAACCAAAAACCCAATCCAGCCCCCTCACATCGAATTGATTCCAGTGTGAAATAGGCAATCAATACATATCTGTTACATAAATGGATGGGTGTGTGGATAGATGTAGCAGTATTTTCTCACTCTGCCCTTCTCCTCTCTCCCCCCTTTCTTACAGAACTTGCCTGTGTCCTGCCCCACTTTGCACAGACATCCGGGAGGGGCCTGCGGGGTAAGAAGCTGCACCCAGAGGCCCTTCTTGGAAGAAGAAGGTCTTCCAAACCAGGCCTCCCATGAGGAGATGTACTTCAAGGAACAACTTAAAGCGGCTGGATTTCAAACTTTTAAAAACGTAAAAAACTAATTTTATTGCTAATAGGATATTTATAGGGACTGGAATGTCTTGCATTAGTCTGGGAGAAGGACTGGTAAGCTCTCCAGATTCAACTTTAGTGAGGTCACAGGTTCTCTTCCTGGCTGGGGAAGGCTATGGCACAGTACCTGAGGTCCGTCTCTTATGTCGGAGGCAGGTGGCAAGCCTGCGATATTTGTTGGACAGGTTGACCCAGCGAGCTGTGGTAGACTTCAGTTTCTTGATTGTAATTGCCAAGCGTGGAATTTTGGCACTGGGGCAGCCAAATTCCTCATCAGACACCATGGGAGCCAAATGTCTCTTTTGAGCCCGTTGTTGGTCAGGAACCTGGCTGGAGATTGGCTCTTCTGCTTTCATGTCGGATGCGGTGGCCAGAGGCCGGTCCCCAAAGGAACGATAGCCACCAATTAGGCAGTAGACCTCCCCATGCCAGGTCATATTAGCTTCTCCGTACCTGCGGTAGAGGACGTGGTAGTGCCCAGGGCTGGAGAGGTTCCTGGGAGCCACTGCTACTGGGAAGAAAAACAGAACTGATCAGTCGCCCATACTTTACACAGATGCTGCCAAGACCCGCCCTCTCTCACAGACACCTCTGTTTCTAGAGGAAGTCCTCTTTAACTGGTTGGCATTGAAAACACAGTGGGTCTATTTCCTTTCAGGGTCCCCTAAAGGAGGCTGATGGCTGTAAAGGGAGCTTCCTAGATGCTGTGGCGATTTGGAAATCAAGTCCCCTTTCCCAGAAAAGGCACGATCACCCCACAAGGATTGTGGTCAGGCCCCACCTCAGCCCCACTGCCTACAACTACATGTTCACAGATGGCCAGTCTCAGCATTGCTTCCTCCCCTGAGCATGACTCCTCTGCTCTTCCCAACTCCGGCACCATCCTTCCTAACTCTCAGTCTGATATGTGGCCGAGTGGACGCTCGTGGCTGTGTCAGGACAGTCCAGTAAAGGGGAAGGGTCTGGAGGTGATCTCTGAGAAAGGCCTTCAAGAACTCTTCCTCAAACTGCTCCGTGGATCCTTTGCCACCAAAGCGATGCTTGGTGTTGGCTGAGAGGCTAATCAGAAAAGGCCTGAATGGAGGCATCTTTTAGCCCCAGGGGGAAGTGGCTTGATAAATATTAACACTTCACTTGCCCTGGAACGAAACCTTGCTTCCTGTCAATAGTGAGTAGGCTGGGGGCTCCTTACCAGATCAGGGACCCTTGTTACTGCTTACAGGGAACTTCTGAGTTGTGGGCAAATCCAAAAGGAGATGGGTGTCAGGGTGGTAAGGCTCTGTCCTTTTAATACAGATTCCAAACGTAGGCCTACCTGATCCGTGGCCTTCCCAGGGGATCCAGGACATGTTGGCTTTAATATATAAAATGCGATCGCACATTCTCTCACCAGCAAACTTACGGGCTGCTGTCTTGACGAGAAATGGTAGTGAAGTTACCCTGAGGGCACTATGTTTTCCTAGTTACCATGGACACTGAGTAGCTCTGTGAGGTCATCACAAACCAGTGATGTCCCCTAAGGGGTGGGGTGGGGCAGATAGGTGCCCCGCATGCATGGGCTGTCACACCTGACCCTCTGCACTTTGTCCTAGTCAGGTAGCCACTCCCTGTGGTGCTTAGCTGAGGGGCTGGCCCAGGAAAGCAAGAGAAACCCAGACTCTGAGGTAGCCTGAGCGGCAGGCCTGAGCTAAGAAGGGAGATGGCACTGACCCCCAGCGCCCAGCAGTTCTTGACCTAGTCCTCCTCCAAATTGAAATTCATGGAATGCTCACATTTTTACCAGTTGAGACTTGAGGAAACCTGTGGAATTTCTCCCAAGTTGTCTCCCCAAAATATATGCCAAACCTAAGGCTCCTTGCTACACATGGTAAAGGACTGTACACTTGGAGGTCATTGCAAGCAGGTCAGAGGTCATCCTCCCTAACGGTTATCAGCCAGCTAGAACAATCAGACTGTATAGTCTGTCCCACCCTAAAGTAGGGCCCACTCCCTTCTGATAAGAATAGTAGATTGTTTCCCTGAAGGAGAGTCCAGGAAGGTCAAGGTCACCACTCAAGGGTGACCAAGGTTAGGCTGCCATATTGAATCTAGGGTCCGCCCATCTTGTCACATGTATGACCCTAGTACCTCCCCTTCCTATTATGTGTACACCCCTTAGCTCATCCCCTTCCTGTGAGGTGTATGCCTATTGTACCGCCCCTTCCTGTGATGTGTGTGGTTACCTGAAATCATGCCCCCACTAAGGATATATGGGCCTTGGCCAGAAATAGAGACCCTCCTGCCCTTTGTGTGGATCTGACTGGTGAGATCATGGTTTAGGAGGTAAGCATGCTACCATGAAACGTGTCTGACTTCTTCATCTTACTCTCTCTCCTATCTCTCCTATTTGCTATGATTTTACTATAATCTTTATATATCATAACTGTATGAATTGTCCCTACCGGACCCATGATATAGTGTGAGGGGCTGGTTTCCCCCACAGAAACCCGAAAGTAGAAGGGCCACCCAAGGACACACAGGTAGTGGAGGAGAGGCTTTTGCTACTGTTATTGTTGTGATTAGGTGTCTGGAGACAGTTCTGTCTGATAGGGACCCAAGGTAGGTAGGACAGAATGAAGCACCACTGGGTCCTGCAACATTCTCTCCATTGCTCTGCTTGAGCCACTATATCGATCCCTTGTGTTGAAGGCCTTCCTCTTTTCTCTCTGTCCTTCCAATTTATCAGTCAAGCTTGATGGCCTCCAGGGACTGGGTTCTTCCAATAACACGTCCCTAGCATGTGAGACTAAGTCTCTTCATCTTTGCCTCCAAGAACATTTTGGCTGTACTTTTTCCCAGACAGAGCTGTTTGTTCTTTTGTCAGTCAGCAGTACCTTCAATAGTCTTCACTACCACCACAATTCAGTTGTCACGATTTTCCTTCGGTCTGCCATACTCGATGAGATGATTGAAAATATCATATCTTGGGTCAGACACACATTCATCCTCAAAGTAAAATGATTGATGCTCATGGTCGGGAGATGTGAGGACTTCAGGTTGGGACTTGAGGTTTATAGCCGATAGGGAGGGATGCGAGGACAAGCTGATGGCATTTCAAGGTGACGCCAAGAGGCCCAGCAGAATCAGGGTTGTGAAGAAATTCACAGTGGGAATGATGAGCCCATTTGAACATGATATTGAAACCAACCACAGTATCTATTGTTATCCCCTGCCCTCAAAAGGACAGGAAGACGACAAAGTGTCGCCATGAAAGGATGAGATGGGTGCCGAACATCAGTCAAGTGACACACGGCAGCAGGGGGGAGGTGCTCCAGGGACAGAGGGATCCAGGCCTCACTATGGAAGGGAGCCTTTGGTTGAGAGTGTTCGAGGACTTCCTGGGCATGTGAGGTGTCCACAGACAGAACAGTCTTCCTTGGGGTGCACCCTGCAACTGGTCTTTTTGGGCAGAGACCAGATATGTGTTCACTGAGGCTGGAGCAGAGGTGATAACCCAGGAGGCAGAGGCTGCACTCTCAGAGAGGTTGGCCTAGCGCTGGGAACCACAACAACGTCTATCTCCCATGTTTCATGATTTGTGTGTTGTCCATTAGGACAGGGAGAATTCAGGCCCAATTAGAACAGCCTGCCTGTGATGGAAGAGCCCTGGTGTCAAAGTGGTTACAAGGTCCACAGATCAAAACCACAGCCACTCAGCGACAGAAAGGAGAGCCCCCTCCCCCCCACCCAAAGGGTGAAGGGACAGCGGACACTGTGAGATATGAAAATAATAATTTATAATCTATTAAGGGTGGGAGGGTGGGGGAGGGAGGGAAAAAAGAGGAGCTGATACTGAGGACTCAAGTAGAAAGAAAATGTTTTGAAAAGGATGATGGCAACAAATATAAATGTGCTTGATACAATTGATGTGTGGATTGTTATAAGAGCTGTAAGAACCCCCAATAAAATGATCTATTTTCAAAAATGAACTAATAAACAACCTTTTGGTTTAAACAAAGAGAGAGGCATTCTATTAAAGTAGAATTAATCTTAAACCCACAGGGCCAAGGCCAAGGCCAAGAAGGTCCCTATGGGTCAGCATGGACTCCTGCACTGAGTGTGGTTTTAGGTCTGACCTGTTAGGGGTGGTGGGAGAAAGTTTTGCCCTGGTAGGAGGGCCTACATGAGACCCCTCAGACTGCCAGGCATAAATGGAGAGGGGAAAGTTCCCTGTGTCCTGGAGAAAGGGTTTCTGATTGAGGTGATGCGAATGTTTTGCAACTATATCCAGGTGAATAAACAGTCATTGAATTGTTCGATTTGAAATGGTTAAGTTTTTTGATATGTGAATTTCACCTCAAAGGAAGGTGCAGACAGGCTGGGTTTGGCCCATTTGTTTCTGTGCTCTTGAGCAAATTCCTTTACCTCTGAGAGCTTGATTTTTCTCCTCGAGAAAAGAGGGCTAAGGTATCAGACACGTTGGTCAAGGTTGACAGCTGGGCAAACTGGTTGCCCCAAAGGGTAAGCCCATTCAGTCTTCCTCTGGGCAGCCTTAATTACCCTTTTACAGGCTGCAAGTCTTTACTCGTCATCCTTCCCTGGGGTGCTGTGATCCTGCTGCAGTTCAGGGAATGCTGCAGAGACTGGAATCGGATGAGTGGGTGCTGGGCTAATCTGACCGCTTTAGGGAGCAGTCACAGGCAGGTGTTGGAGCGCTGACCGTGCTGCCGCTTCTCCACGTCACTGAGGAGAATGGCCTTGATGGACGTGGGTCTCACAAACCCTTTAATCCTCCTCCTCCTCCTCAGCGAGAGACGGGACGGGAGGCAGAGCCTGGGACGCACAGCGAGCCACACTGCTGCGTGCACTGCCTTTCATTTTCTGCCCAGACAGATCCCGCCAAGAGTGGGATGTTGGTGCAGAAAACTCTCCCCAAGGCTAGTCGCCCCCCCACCCCACCCCAGGAGCATGGTGTTGCTTTCCTTTTTGGAAGCTTTTAAGGTAGCATTGACACAAACCAACCATTTTCACCATTTTGAAATGACCATTTCAGTGACATTAGTTCCCTTCTCAGGTCACCATCAGCACTCTTTCCAAGGACTTTCTGCCCTCGAAAGAGAAAACGCAGTCCCACTTCTCCCAGCCCCTGGTCAGACAACCAAACTTACTGCCCTGAAGTCAATTCTGACTCAGAAGGAATTTACGGGACAGAATAGAAACGCCCCTCTGGGTACCCAAGACTGTAAATATTTACTGGCGGGAAAGCCTTGTCTTTCTCCCTTGGGGCACCTGGTGGCTTCAAAATGCTGACTCTTGCTCGCAGCCCATGTGTAGCCCACTCCACCACCCGGGCACCTCCCAAAGGCAAACTCATTGCCAGAGTCCATTCTGACTCACAGGGACCCTACAGACGGGTGGAACTGTCTCTGTGAGTTTGAGATGAGCGATGATAATAGGAATCCTAGCCATTCTGGTGGGGCAGCTGGTGGCTCTGCACTGCTCCGAACCTTCCAGTGGTAGAAGCCTTTCATTATCCCACCTCGGCTTCTTATAAACGTCTGTCTCTACTGGCCTCTTCTTGTCATTTTTATGAGTACACCTTGGGAGCCCCCCTCCCCCCCCAAAGACCTACATGGTTACAAATGAAAACAACTCAAAGAGCCCTTGTCTTCTATGCAGTGTGGGGTCCGATTCTTCCCAAAGTTCCCTAAATTCTGCCCCAATGGTTATTGGCTCCGGAGAGATGTTATTCCTCATGACATCATGTAATCACAACAGGAAACAAAGCCAAATTCGACTTTATTCTTCACCTGTCATGTGAGAGACGGCAGACAGGGAAGCCTTTGGCTTAGGCATTGATCACACTGAAGCCAGCTTGCATCAGGCTTGCTGGGGAGAAGGCGTGCTCCTGGAAGACATCCACTCTGGCCAGCTGCCAGCTCAACTTTCTGGACCGGGCTCACATTCCCACGGATGTGGGACAAGGGGCCCCCCCCACCACTAGCTGAGCTGGCGAGGGTTGAAGGCATCTTTTAAGGTGGCTGGGCTTTCCGCGAGGTGGCTCTTCTCCAAATGTAGTCCACCAGTTCCAGGAAGCTCTCGTCCAAGACCCAGAAGGACAGCTGCTCCAGGCTGACCAGTCGCCCTTTCAGGGCCTTCCACAGAGCCCCTGGAGTGGACACTAACACTGCAGCGGGGGGGCTGTTTGGACAGCTGCAGCTGGATCTTATTTATGCCATCCCGCCCCCCGCGCGCTCCACCTAATTCCCGCACCTGCAGGCCCAAGGAGCTGCACCTGCTGGGCCGGGGAGGCAGGAGGACAGGCTTCGGGGAGCGGGCACGTGGCTGGGCCACGCCAATAGCGGAGGGAGGTGGCCGCGGA